TATATAGTGAGAGGTTTTCTGGAAATTACAAACAAAAGAAGGCATTAAGCTCCAAATACCTCCCCGAACAACAAAAACCAAATATCGACTCACCGAACCGTTCGCTTTTAGCCAAAGAAAGGCACAATAACTTCTCTTAAACTCTCCCCTATATAAAAACTGAAAACACTCGCTCGCCCGAGCACATGGCGATTCCAGCTTAAAGGTGTCATGTGACTAACGAAATCTCCCAGGGGAGTCGGGAGTGACAAAGCAGCTGTGTGAGTTTTAAAAGCCTCTGTTTTCCAGCTCCTAACATTGACTCCAGATGACCAGCCTAGAAGGTGAATTTAGATTGACCGTAGAACATTAGACCCGAGTCTACCTAGTTCAAAACTCTGGCTATGTAAAAGTATTCTGAACATTTGTATTCAGACTGTTTCGGTGCAAATGTTGTTCCACTATTCCATTGTAACTTTTTTCAATTTTTTTTTGTTTTCTATTAAAGTAATATTCAAAAATTTTTCTTGTAGAATACGTTTTAGAGATTTCCAGTTCAACAGGAGTGTTCATTGACCCAGTGTACAATATAAAGGCAGTCAGAGGAATGCTGGCTGAAATGTCCAACAATCCCAAAAGATTTCAAGGAAATAGGATACTCTATATTCATACTGGTATGTGAAATTTTTCTGTGCTACTTGGTCGCCTAAACAGATTACTTCTTTAGTGAGACTGACTGTAGATGAACATGCATGTTTGCAAGAACTGATTCAGGTTCCTGGAGCTTGTAACGACCATATTGGGAGTAACTGTTTCCTATCCTGGATGAGTTGCCATAACCTGTTCCATTTCCTCCTTCTTCCCTTCCAGACCTCTTTATCAGACTCCTTGACAATTTGCCTGTGACGAGTAGCTGCGTAGAAAGGACATTTTTCGAGGGGATGCGCTAATGGGGGTTAAATGTGAGGTTTATGGAAACGGCGGATCAACGACAAAACACAATTACAAATCAATCGACGGGGGTAATCCGTCGTATTACTACTTTCAATGATTTAGAAATATTTTTTGCCTTTTTTTGCTCGATTTTCAGGTGGATGTTTTGGTTTATTTGATGGCAGAATTGATCCTTTACTAACAAGTTCACGAAGCACACAATATA